ATGGATGCATGGATGGATGGATGTCATGGATGTAACATATGTACTAACATTTCCATCAGATTATGCAGACCATCAAACGCATAGTCATGTATACACTTGATTGGGTTTCCTCCAAGCTCCCTTAAAAAGAAACAAGGCAGTCAATGCAAAATATCAACATCCAATAAAATAAACCCTGAAACAACCTCTAGGCTGATCTAAGTCGGGCATGGCTAACTCACAGATCACACCCTGAAACAACCTCTGGGCTGATCTAAGTCAGGGCACGCCTAACTCACAGATCAAACCCTGAATCAACCTCTGGGCTGATCTAAGTCAGGGCATGGGTAACTCACAGATCAAACCCTGAAACAACCTCTGGGCTGATCTAAGTCAGGGCATGGCTAACTCACAGATGGAATTGGAATTGGCCATCTTAAGTAACTTTTGTCGAGGGAGGAAAACTGAAGAACCTGGGGGRAAAACCTTGAATCAAGAGAGAGTGCTTACCGAGAACCGAGACCCCAGAGGTAGAAAGCAAGTGCAATATACAGCTATAAAACCATTGGTCCCAAAATATATGCATGACTGCATAGCCTTTGCTATCCTCTCTATACTCAATTATAAAAGAACTGGACTACAGTTAGTCTGGGTATATCCTGTACAAGTTAATGTCAAACTGCTATTAATGATGGAACTCCTCGAATAGCGTACTTACAAATTCTGTAACAAATTGAGAGATTTCAAAGCTTTGGTTGGAATTGATGAAATATCGTTATGAAGAAGATTCCTGCAAGAAAAGGAAAAATGTTATTTAGCATTAAGTATTTTTAAGATTTGCTCTTCAATGTGAGTTACCCCAGAGGTTCTTTTAAGGCATCGATAAAATTTGAAGGTTTTTTAAATTTGTGAAATGCATGTATTGTATCTTCTATTTTCTATGCCTTTGTGCTTTAAACAAAAATGTTTGGGATGACATCGTAAAAAGGCAGTCCCGTCTCTACACACTACCTCACCCTGCATCAGAAGGACGTAAAAGAACCACTGAGGACGTAAAGAAACCCTGGCAGTGACCACCCTTAGTGTCTGGTCTCTACTAATGATTTCTTAAGGGGTTGATTGTGGGATGGGTATGAAGATTTTTAAGGAGTTGGGAATTGGTGCAGTGTACCTCGAAGGGGTTCCTGTGTCTTATTGTGCAGCACAAGCCCCCAGGCAAAAAAAAGATCTCAAAGAAACCTGGATTTTTTCTACACTACTTACAAGTGGACAAGAGGGTCAGGGAAGGCTCCTTCTTCAATCTTCCCGATTCCGTTGCAGCAAAGCTTTCTGTAAAAAAAACAAAACAGAGATATCATTGTTGATTTACCTCTGAATTATGCTGACTAACGATTAAAATGCGAGGAAACTGAAGGTCGAAATGTCAGAACTATTTGCTCAGGCTTTAATGCATAGCTCATGATTTCATTGCGTATCTCAAACCACGTCACCATGGTCACACGAATAACTCACGACTGTCGCCTGAATTTGAAACGGCGATTACACAAGTAACGCATGATTTGATTGCGCAACCCGAACCAGGTCACGACGATCACACGAAGGACTCACGATTTCATTGCCCAGCTTGAATTGTGCAACGAAGTACRTAAAAATGACTCACGATTTCATTGCGCAGCTCCAATTACGCCACGAAGATCAAACGAAAGACTTAAGCTTTCAATGCGCATCCAGGGATGGCGCTAGGATTTTTGGATCCGGGTACAAACATAAGGGATGAACGTAACTTTACTTATATTTGGGTCCCAAACATAGTGTTGTAGGTGCTAATGAATATCTAGGAAGCCCTTGTCAACATAAGATGGAGTGAAGTGAGTCCTAGGATACATTTCGGTCCCACGCATTTTGTTGAAGGTTTCAATCAATATCTAGGAAGCCCTTGTCAATAAAAGTAAAGGCAGTTCTGGGATGTATTCAATCGTGAAACTGAAATTTTGGATTCCATTTTGTGTAAACATTTCTATCTTGACATGTTTCTTGAATACGTGTTATCCTCTATGGATATTACTATTGCACTCGCGTCAAAACGTTTGACCATCTTTGAGAGCACTTTTTGTTATCATTATCACGTAGCTCGCAGAAATGTGCACCTATACTCCATGTGGGAGGGAAGGTATGGAAAATAATCTTTACAAAGTGACCTCAACTTAGAAAACGTGTCATTCCTTTGGGAATTTTAGTGGTATCTTTGTTCTTTATAGCGGCTAAGGCGATCAATGAATAAATTAATCGGTAAATGAATGGATGCCGGACGGACGGCACACGGACGGACGGACGGACAGACGGACGGATTGATGGATGGATGCATAGATATTCACATAAATACTAATCCACTTACAGATCCGTCAAATGTTTAAGCGTTCTAAAGGCGTTCTTCTGTATCTCTGAAATATTATTGAAGTTCAAGTTCCTGCCGAGAAATAATCAAGAATAAATACACGTACATCTCCCACCTCCATACTACACTCTTATACCAACCATCTCTGGTCATTCCTGCCCCTATAACTCCTCTTCCTCGCTCCCCTACACCATTCCATTCCATTCTACCCCTACCACACCCATTCTTGGTCCTCCCATCCCCTATATCTGCTCTTCCTCGCTCCCCTACATCTCTGCATTCTCCCCTACCACACCCATTCCTGGTCCTCCCACCCACTATAACTCTTCTTCCTCGCTCCCCTACGCCTCTCCATTCTCCCCCTACCACACCCATCCCTGGTCCTCCCACTTCTTTCATCCCTCGATCCTTCTACCATTCCCCTCTTCCCTAAATTCCTGTAGGAAACCGGAATATACAGAGCAAAAAGCAAAGCAAAATTGGTTATAGAACACTTCATAAAATTCTAGACTGTGTCCTCGGATTAACAGGTCAAGTGGAATCTTAGAGACGATAAAATTCTTCAAAACATTTTTCTTAAAATTTGTTCTTAAGTAAACTCTAAGGTCAACAGACGCGTCGTCTAACAACATCAATCAGAAGACAATTGACACTCGATGACTGACAGAACCAGTGATGACGAGAAAGGGGACCAGATTTGTTCAACAAGCTGACATGTTTCAATGAAATTAACGAGRTGTTATTTAGAAGGGCGAGACACAATCAGATGGGTTGAGACGAACTTTGAAATAAAGTGCTGGTGACAGATGATTTAATTTAATTTAAAGATCAATACATTAATAAGGAATTGAAGGTTGAAAAGTAGAAATACTTTGGACGTACAGCACGTACACGGTACGACATGCCGTAACATTGAAATGGCTTCCCGTAAGAATGGTTATCGTATGAGTGGGAAACATACGGTATACTTACAACACGTACACGGTACGACATGCCGTAACATTGAAATGGCTTTCCATAAGAATGCTTATTGTGCACGAAAACTTCAAATTAAATTTCTTTTCATTTAACGAATCCAATAATTCGATAATAACGAAGTTTTGTGTAGAACTTACAGATATGTTAACTTGGTCAGTTGTGTCAGGGTTGATGGGACCTTCTTAATTGCATTGTGATCTAGATATCTAGGAAAGAAAAAAGGAAAGCATTTGGATAAAAATTCGAATCAAAAAAGAAAAGGAGGCTAATGGCTTGTGTAGCTTTGCAGCATTGATTAAGGGATTAATAAAAGGGTTTCAAGTTCATTCGACTCCTTGTCAATGTGTGTCAATCAAATGTGTGCATTGTTTTCCTATCCCCGTAAACACAACCAGCAAAATTCTAATATTGATGTGTGTGTATTAGCCGTGCCCCCCCCCCCCCCCCCCCCCCCCCCCCTTTGGTCAGTCCGTCATGTGCTGTCAACCAGAGAGCAGTACAATGAGCTTAATAAGTTTCATGAATCTCATTAGTAGCCTACAATGACTTCATACCATGCTCAGTCTATTACAACCTCCCCATAAAGGCTATGCACCATCACTTGCCGGCGCCCATAAAACAGCTTGGGCTTCTTGTGGTTAGATGGCAGAACAATAAAATCACTTTGCTCTTGGGAATTGAATTCTTTCTTACGTAAAACGACTGTATTGTTCCTGCCATCTAACATGGCTGCCGTCACGTGATGGTGCAATACCAATATTGAGCTGATAAAAATTCGACAAGGGACCGGAAATGACGTCATTGATAGTGCCATTCATTAGTATAAAAAGTCAATTACAAGTCGTATACAACACACTTACAGGTGTTGCAAGTTGGGTATCCTGGTCACGTGTGTCGGTAGAATGTCACGTATCTTGTTAGCGGACAAGAACCTGATGTAAAGTAGATATGACCAATCAGCAACCAATAGCAAGCAGTAAGCAACCAATAGCAAGCGCCGTTATATACCCTGATAAGTAAGCTGCTAATAGCAAGCACCGTTATATACCCTGATAAGTAAGCCACCAATAGCAAGCACCGTTATATACCCTGATAAGTAAGCCACCAATAGCAAGCACCTTTATATACCCTGATAAGTAAGCCACCAATAGCAAGCACCGTTATATACACTGATAAGTAAGCAACTAACAGCAAGCAGTAAACAACCAATAGCAAGCGCCGTTATATACGCTGATAAGTGAGCAACTAACAGCAAAAAGTAAACAACCAATAGCAAGCGTTGATATATACGCTGATAAGTGAGCAACTAACAGCAAGCAGTAAACAACCAATAGCAAGCGCCGTTATATACCCCGATAAGTAAGCAAGCAGTAATCAACCAATAGCAAGCGTCGTTATAAACGTGCTGGGCTCATGTCAGATGTTTTTTCATAACAGTCAGACGTCATCAATGACGTGGTAGTGTATGTAGAAGTTTATCAATAATCAATTTCACGAGGGCATTYAACTGCGCATGAGCAAAACTTGCAAAAGTTAGATTAGATGTACTGATGAACAAAGATAGTACGTTATGACGATGAAAATGATGATAATGATGGTGCTGGCACGCTGATAATGATGATGGTTATGATGATGGTGATGGCACGCTGATGATGRTGATGATGGTGATGGCACGCTGATAATGATGATGATGGTTATGATGATGGTGATGGTGATGGCACGCTGATGATGGTGATGGCACGCTGATAATGATGATGGTTATGATGATGGTGATGGCACGCTGATGATGATAATGATGGTTATGATGATGGCGATGGCGCGCTGATGATGATGATGGTGATGGCACGCTGATGATGATGATGATGGTTATGATGATGATTACGGTGATGGCACGCTGATGATGATGGTGATGGTGATGATGATGGTGATTATGGTGATAATGGTGATGATGATGAAGGCAAGCTGATGATAATGCTGATGGTAATGATGATGATAATGATGATGGTGGCGGTGATGTGATGATGGTGATGGTGATAACGATGAGGAGAACGCAGCGTTAACTAAGCTGATAATCAAAGACAAAAAAAAAATCCAAAGAAAACTTACAGGTGAGTCAACGATGGAAGGGATTCTCTAAACGTCGGCAATTCCTCCAACAAGTTGTCTTTTAGATATCTGAAATTAAATATACAATCAGATGGGAATGGAGAGTGGCGCCCTTGCCTGTCACCACTGGGGCTTTAGGTTTGATTCCTGGACTCGGCAGCACATGTCAGCAAAGAGGTTCTTCGCTAGCTCCCTTGATGTCGGGGTTTTTCTCAGGGTTCTACGGTTTTCTCCCTTGTGTAAAATCCGTATATATATACACACCTATTTCAGAAATTGTTGTCGCACCAAAAGCCTCAAGCAACAAGCCAAGACCGCAGAGAACGCCGGTACTTTTAGCTGTAATTAGTTTATTCATGGTGCATTTTCATTTATTGACTTCACAAATTGCTCCAAGCAAGGCTGCTTGAGATGATAATTAGTGGAGAGCTATAGCCACTTGCATGATCCATGAATAAATAAATAAATCATAATTAAAAGCACCGACCTTCTCTTGAGCCTTGGCTTGTTACTTGAGGCTCTCGGTGCGACAACGATATTCAAAATATGTGTGTATATATATATATAGAGAGAGAGAGAGAGAGAGAGAGAGAGAGAGAGAGAGAGTATAAAGCGATCTTATCCTATACTTACAGTCTTTCTAGTGCTCTGAGGTTATCAAACACTCCTTCTGGTAATTTTCTAATGCTGTTATTTTGTAAAAATCTATAGAGGAAAAAAATTTAGTTAGGTTTGAATACGTTTTGGTTGCAGCAAAATAACGCCCCGTTCAGAAAAAGGGGTCTCCATAAGTTAAATAACTGAGAGGTCAATTATAAAGATTTTTTTTAAACAAAGGAAAGAATGAAACAGACTGAGTTGTGCAAGCGAAACGCAAACTAATCCGTATTGCGCGCATCAATCAAAAAGAGTACGCACAATCGTTAGCCAAAAGTTTACCACAGATCTAAAAAAGCATCTTAGATTGAAATAAATTTTAAAAATCCATCCAAAATATGACGAGAATTCTACAGAACGTTCTAGAACAAACTACATATTTTTTCTATCTATGCTGGCTTTAAAAACCAATTCATTAAACTATGTTAATCCGGGACATGCTGAGCTCAAAGAGCCAAAACATATAACTTGAAGAAACTGACTTCTCCAAACATTTCTTAAGGCTTAAGGTTTTTTTCTTGTAAAACAGAACAGAAGCACTTTTGACCAGGGAAATTGAGGGTAAAATAAGACTTTCTTATAATTAGTTCTGTACGTATTTTTCAACTCCTGCTATGTCGAAAAACAGCGCTAAAGAATATTTYAAAAGTTTTACTAAGGTTTTTTTTTACTATTATTTTCAGACTTAAATCCAAAGAGATTTTAAAACTTATTTTCCAAGCTGGCGGCCAAGCAATCTTTGTCGTTACTCACGTTTCATTTCACCGCAAAGTTTTCTGCCAGCGACATCACATAAAAAATGCTATGTTTAAACATATTCTTACTAAAAATATCAATCCACCACAAAGTTCAAAAGTCTTTGAAACTTTCCCGATAGTGGAAATAATACTTGCCCACGAAATAGTATTACTAGAGTCCTGAAATTGCTTGAATACTTTCAAGAGATCAAAATAAACCTCACAGGTCAAAACACTTAGTTTCTTTCTCAAGAATGTGTTTGATATTTGAAATCTTCAAGCGAAAAACTCGTTTTTTTAATTCTATTTTTAACTAGATTCTTTTAATCAAGGAATAATACTATTTTTTTGTTTTAATGTTGCTTTTCTGTTGTTATAACTTTAACTTTTGTTGCTGATAAAAACAACATTTGCAATCTGTTTTCTTTCCCACGCGAGAAAGCAAAGACAACCAAGCTTCAATATTTCTATTTAAACCACTCRTTTTACCACTTAATGAACTCGGCTAATTTTAGTACAAATATTTACATTTGAGTTCAGCAATAATTGACGTCAGAAGAGGTTAGCGTATTGGCCACACGACATCTTGTTTGGCTCGCTTCAGTGATAATGATAGCTTTGGAAAACTTCCTTAGTTCAAAGGCGCTATCCGGGAAGGCGCTGTTGGAACGCGTACAGATCTTTTGCTGCCAAAATAAAGATTTATTTGCGAAATGTTTCGTCTCGCTTTGGATATATTTCAACCGTGTCGCAAAGGGTTAAATTTTGATCGAAAATAATAAAAAACTGCATTAAACAGTAAACGTACGAGGTAGAGGTAAACGTACAAGGTAACTTTATTTCATCGAACCCTTAAACAACCTCTGGTGTGATATATTTAAATTTTGGAAGAAAAACCTAGAACTATAATCTTTAGTAAAAACTTATAGTTTCTGTAAAAAGCAAAACCTAAATGCAAATGCTGTTATTCTAGGAGTCCGGCTATAAATAGTCCGCGGTAAATTTTCAGATTCTCCTTTAATTGGAAACCAAACCAAAATTCGAGTTAATGTGTAAAACACCCGCTGTGGGTTCAACACAAGGTGACCCATACTCCTCAAGATGTTCATTTTAAGCGAAAACAACAAAAAATGAAGAAGAAAAAAGCCGTCAAATTTTCGCGCTGGTTTGAGAGATCAGCACGATGTCTCAAGCACCAGTTATTTGTTGAACGTCATGCGTATTTGTAGTTTTAGTCGTTGCACGCCATTTAAAAAGTCTGTCCCTATTATCTCATCTTTCCTACGGCTATCCTAGCGCTATCCGACGGATAAATCTTATCCAGTGGATAAATTTATTGGATAACAGCATCCACTGTAAAAGGGTTTAATCATTGGTTAGCGCAATCCACCCTTCGTACAATCGGGCCCAGAGCTGTAAATACGTCATTTTTCCCTGAAGTTTTCAAAAGAGATAATCATACTTCTTAAAATAGCTCAGTAATCAGTTTCAAAACAGACCCCGGGTTGCCGAGAAAGCAGCGTCTGTTAGAAGAAAGATAAAACGAGGCGAACCAAGGCGTGGATGCCGAAAGAGTCTTTGAGACGACCTAGTAATGTACTGCACTAAACCTAATCTTAGATTACGTGGGTCTGCAGAACATAAGCCCGAGGTATGGTTCTCACTAATACCAGACCTTGTGGGACTTGGAGTCGGCTCTAAGTCTGTTAAGTTACCAAATAAAAAAATTAAGGAAAACAAATGATAATAAATAATGGCAAAGAATTTACTTGTAAAGTTTTTTTCAGGATACCAAGATTTTCCCTAGACGAATGTCTCTTTTGAAGGATGAGACAAAAGATTTCATGTTTCCGAAAATTGCCACAAAAATCGCCGCAAAGATCGCCGCAAAAATCGCGGCGTGTAAACGGGGCTTACGAAACCAATGCATTCTTTGAAATTAGAGGTCCTAATATAGAGCTGTGAGGAACTTCATTATGTAACGTTTCCGTCCTAAGTTTGAACTCAAGCAAAAATGTAAATGAAACAGTGAAGCTACGAAAGCAAGGAATCTTCTGAAAATAGAGGTCCTAATATAGAGCCATGAGGAACTCCATTTTCACCTTCATGATTTTTTTCTTTATTACTGCTGCTGAACATATTCTCAGATTGATTATTATTATTATTGTCCTCCTAAAAAAATCTGGAAAAGATGTTCTCTAAAAATAGGTCCTTAAGGAGAGCATTGAGGAACTCCATTACGAAACAATCTTCTACTCTAGCTGACGTAGTGCTGCAAAACAAGTTTACTACAGTTCTCATTCATACAATGAAATGCAATACAATGGAAAGGAGGTTGTTTACTAAAAAGAGAGGTCCTAAAACGAAGCTTTGGGGAACTCCAATGTTTCCCTAACGATTTGCCGTTTACAATATTGCAATCTGAAGAATAATATTGACATTTAAAATGCTGCTGGTGGAAATGACCATTTTAAGAACCTTTGGTTATTTTTGTTCAAAATATGGGTTTTCAAATGCATGCTCATAGTTCCTTTCAATCCTTGAATGACCTTTTTCCTATTTTATTTGGCTCTGAAGACCTTTCTTAAAATAGTTACAAATATCGACCATTATCATCAACAGCAAGGTGTCTATCAACACTCGATTCATCTATTTTTAATTCAAAAGGAAAAACTTCGATCTGATTGCCAAAACCAGGTTAAAAAAGGGTTGTCGGAAGAATTCAAAAAAACATCGACATAAGAACTGTAAAGGAAACCACGCGATGATCCATGGCTTTTCCAGGAGCAAGAGACAAAATAATACGATAAAAATGAAGGAATTATTTTTGCCGAGATAAAAACGAAGAAAAATTTTTGGTGTTGGCAATTTTTTCAATTTTTTCAATTCCATCTCTATCTTCTCATTTCAATCAATCAATCAATCAACCAATCTTTATTTAGTACCAATATTGCAAAATTACATACACTAAACAACAAAAATACAGAAAACTTTTCTATTAATACTTTGAACTACTTTTCATATGGGCTCAATTTTGACAATGTCGATACCAAATTAACTCAGAAGAATAATTATTTACGATAGTTAATGAATTTTTAAAATTAGAAATCGAGATAAATTTAGCGACATTCCAAGAATGCATGGTGATCAAAATTCCGTATACTCTCATCCTAAGCTTATTTCAGCATCTTATAGCGCTCGTATAGTCGAATGAAGAATATAGTCGTTGAAATAACAAGCTTAGAGATTTATTTAGACCTTTGAGGTCAGCGCCACGGGAAGCAAAAGGGCCAAACACTACAGGAGAGAGGTTCCGGCATYGGAAGAAGACGTTCTGCTGAACGGTTGACTTGTGGGTTAAATCGTGAAAGAGGTCGTTAAAATGTAAATAAATGATCTGGTAAAGCGAAAGAAATTTTTCAAGAGAATTTCAAAGAGGTCACTTCTGAAGGCCCCAATAGCTTCCGATATCAGGAGCCTTATTTCAATCCTCTCCAAGTAGAAATTAAATGCCGGGGACATCGGACAATGTCCGCCCAGAATTGGAACTTCTCCTGCCAAATCTTTGTACTGGTGGTCATTTTGACCAGTAACGTTGTGCCAGAAACCAGGTCCGGCATCTAGCAGTCCTTTGTTTTACGCCCTGAATGCTTGGATTTGGTACGCCTTAAAGCATTCCGAAACGGTTCTAGTTTTTCAGACCAGTAAATAATAAGATAAAACCGATAAAAGCTCTCTACAGTCGAAGGCAGCAGCTACAACGCTGGGCCAAAATTCAACAAAAATGTCACCAATGCAAACAATAAAATAAATAAAGCTGCTTATTAAAGTGTCTAGTCGTTCTAGCGCTTTAGCATTAATTGGGGACACTTTTCACACACACACAAACACACACTACCCTCTGCATTGAATGCTCTATGCACACAACGCTAAACTCGGATGTTGATTTTTACGGAGGGAGGAAACCGGAGATCATAATAATAATAATTGTTATATCAAAACTAATTTATGGTCTTAGTGTTTATGGAGCATCACCTCCGGAGCTTACMACCGTACAAAACTTTTTAGATCGCTGTTACAAACGAAATTATACAACATACCATYATAATATCCAGGATCTTTTAAATAAATTTGACACAAGGCTATATAAGAAATCGGTTAGTAGTGACCATCCTTTGCATAGCATAGCGCCTAAAATACAAACGTCCAAGGAAATCATATTTTATTAGACCTAGAGTTAATTCTCAACGTTTTAAAAACTCATTTGTAAATAGAATGATCTTTAGTAATTAGTATCTTTTAATCGGTTTT